CGAACCTTAAAATCGTTATGATGATAATTTCTGCTCAGTTGCAATAATAATCAATGGAATTAAGATTTTCTGTGATGACTAAAAATACACAAAAGTAAAATCTATCAGTCTGTTAAAGCAGGTCTATTAACCACATGTAAGGATAGAAAGCCTTATTTAAATGCACACTCTCTTTCACTCATCTAGTATGTTCCATAGAAAAGCAATGTCTCTTTGTAGTAAACACGTTAGTTGCAGAGATAAAAACATATGTAAGTTATACTAAATCCACAGAATATTTTATTTGGAATAAAACCAAAAGAATGTATTCACACCAGCTTACATCAGTTTCTGAGCTAATACAAACAATAGGAACACGAGTTAGGAAATGGAAATTAAATGATAAATAAATGAATGAGATGCCCATAATTTCTATTTTGATCAGTTTCCAATGTAAGAAAGAGGACTCAAAGCAACTGCACAGCTTTCTAGGATATATTCTAATCAGGATCCACGCTGCATATTCTATATCAGGCATAGGCAACCTTCGGAACTCCATGTGCTTTGCCAGCATTATGGGTGTAAGAGCATTATGGGGGATGTAGTCCAGAACATCTGGGGTGCCGAAGGTTGCCTACCCCTGTTCTATATCTTATAAATGCTGTCTAAAAGAGCAGTGTGTAAAATATACAGTGACTGACTGCACAGAGACCAAGGCATATCAAACATTAAACCATTCGAGTCTCTACTGCCCAGTGTAAATCTTCCAATGGCATCGCTAGAAACGTACTGACCAATTAAAAAGCTTAGAGGTGACATATGTTTAGGAAGATAGACAGACAGAGAGAGAGAGAGAGAGAGAGAGACAGAGAGACAGACGGACAAATAGAGGTTTCCTCATTAAACAAGAAAATGGTCATTATTTTAGAACTACCTCTTAAAGGACCACTCTAGGCACCCAGACCACTTCAGCTTAATGAAGTGGTCTGGGTGCCAGGTCCCTCTAGGATTAACCCCTTTTTTTTATAAACATAGCAGTTTCAGAGAAACTGCTATGTTTATAAATGGGTTAATCCAGCCTCTAAAGCTTCTAGTGGCTGTCTCATTGACAGCTGCTAGAGGCGTTTGCGTGCTTCTCACTGTGAAAATCACAGTGAGAAGACGCCAGCGTCCATAGGAAAGCATTGTAAATGCTTTCCTATGAGACTGGCTGAATGCGCGTGCAGCTCCTGCCGCGCATGCGCATTCAGCCGAAGAGGAGGATCGGAGGCGGAGAGGAGGAGGAGAGCTCCCAGCCCGGCGCTGGAAAAAAGGTAAGATTTAACCCTTTGTTCTCCCCAGAGCCCGGCGGGAGGGGGACCCTGAGGGTGGGGGCACCATCAGGGCACTTTAGTGCCAGGAAAACGAGTATGTTTTCCTGGCACTATAGTAGTCCTTTAACGCTAATCCTATCTATCTTCACATCTATCTATCTAATATTGTAACTGCTATTTTGCACTGTATATAATACGTTTTATATATCCATTAAATGTGCATACTATTGTATTTTTTAATCTCCAGGTCAGTGTAACTCTACAGAAATATTTGCCATATATGTAGATAGCCCTACATTTTTATCAAACATTATTAAATCGTTATATGTGATATGTGGCATTACAAGATCATTTTATTCAAATATTCATTTATTTCAGATGATTCTGTAAACTGTGACCTGTACAGAATTTAGAACGTTCGAGTTCAGCTGTTTTAACCTACAATTTCTGGTTATTGTCACCTTTCCTCAATTCCTCATCTAATGTCCTGCTAACTATCTCACAAATGGAAAATATTGTCTGCGTTATCAGAGTCTGGGCAAAATACAGAAATATACCACACCGTTTAAATAGATTTTTCATTACTGTCTTGGAAATGTCAAAATTAAAATTCCAAATGGTTTATTGAAATATTCCCAGTCAATCCACTCAGCTAAATGGACAAAACTGTAAACAAGCGTCTACATGACCTTTTTGTCAAAGAATGACTTATTTACCTTCAAATCAGTGATTCGTGTCACATTTAATATATTTTTAATGAAATACAATGGCTCCTATTTGTCACTTTTTATATTACACTTAACTTGGTGTTAATTGCTCATTGGAATTGTCATTGTATTCACTTTTATAAGCTGAGGAAGTATTTTTAAACTGTGTATAGGTTATATGAAAACTCTTTTTGATCAAAGAAATATTGCAGTAGTAAATCATCTAAAAAAATAGGCCTTGATTTAAAGTGACATTCAGGACCCCTAGAGCACATTAGCTTGATATGTGGAGAGTGTGTCCTATTTTATTCATTTTACAAGGAGTGAAGATTTCAAATGAAATTGTCACTTTTATAAATTAACCTGGTTAAACTCAGAGGATTTCATGCTGACAACGTCATGTTATCCCCCTAAAATGGCACGCTATTATACGCCAGAGGAGGCACGCGTTTTTCAAGCAGGCTATGATAGTGACACTCTCCCTGACAGCTCTTGACATTGAGTCCCAAAGTGAGTCCTCAGGTGATTGGGCGCCACCACCAGCTACAAGAAGGATTTAGGATGCCCAGCAGTGCCAGATGAAAACTGTGCTTCCCCAAACTTGGTTGTTCAAGAAATACCCCAATTCACAGCTACATCTTGCATCATGATAACAGTAGATGTTTGTAAACTATTTTACATGTGGCACCCCACTGATGTTGCAGAAATATAAAAAAAAAAAAATGTGGGCTCTAACCCTAGTAATTGGAATTGTGAAAAAGTCAAGTATCAGATCCTACTGTCACAATCACACCACCCTGGCTACGGCTATTGGAGGTAGACTTGGCTGATTAATGTATACAGCCAGGGCCGGCCTTAGGCAATTAGGCGCCCTGTGCGAAAAAAGTCTTCACAGCGCCCCCCCCCCCAACAAGTAGCCTGTATACAGTCACATGCACAGGCAGACAGTCACACAAACAGTTACAAGCAGACAGTCAGACACGCTCAGTTATAGGCAAACAGTCACAGAGCCAAACAAACAGTTACAGGCACACAGTCACACACACAGTCACAAGCAGACAGTCACACAGTCATTACAAGCAGACAGTCATACACACTTGGTTACAGGCATGCAGACACTCACGCACGCTGATAGGCACACACACTAAGTTAAAGACAGATAGTGACACATAAAGGCACAGGCACACACAATGGCACAGCTACAGCAACACACAATTGGAGTCACACAGTCAGACAGTCACACACATGCAGGCAGGCAGTCACACACACACACACACACACAGACAGACAATCACACACACAGGGAGGCAGTTACACAGACAGACAGTCACACACACACAGGCAGGCAGACAGTCACACAGACAGACAGTCACACACACAGGGAGGCAATTATACAGACATACAGTCACGCAAGCAGACAGTCACGCAAACAGTCACACACACACAGGCAGGCAGTTACACACAGAGGCAGGCAGTCACACAGACAGTCACACACAGAGGCAGGCAGTCACACAGACATACAGTCTCACACACACAGGCAGGCAGTCACACACCACACACACACACACAGACAGTCACACACACAGTCAGGCAGTCACACAGACAGTCACACACAGGCAGGAAGACAGTCAGACACACACACAGGCAGGCAGTCAGACAGTCATATCTGGTGAACCAAAAATTACTATGTACTCTTTAAAAAAGCAGTTAGACAGAATGGTGGTCCAGGCACTCAAGGATGAGTTAAATCAGCAGGTTCATTGGAAATAAGTGTAACGTTTCGATCCCACGGGGGATATTTCTCAAGTTTGTAAAAGATCCCCTGTGGGAACAAAACATTGCACTTTTTTCAAATGAACCTGCTGTTCAACTGACCACAACTGAGGGGCTGGACCTGGAAGTTTGTCTAACTACTACAGGAGGGGTAGCCAACCACATGTCTGGCTGCACCAGGATTTTAATTAGTGTGCAGTATTCCTCATTTTCATCTATATACTATAAAAAGCAGTCACAGGCAAGCCATATCCATTTCTTGATTTTATGTTGAATCTTTTGTCCAATATTTTACAGCATGTACCCAGTCCCCCAATCCTCCTTCTCTTGAATCAGAGGACGTCCAAAGACTTTGTGCCAAGCACTTTCCTTTCTGAATTCCCCCAACACCCTGTAAACACTCACCTCAAAGAAAGTGTCATGTTTGCTACCAGAAAGGAATCCAAAAGGACTTTAGTTAGCACAGCACTTCCTGCCCATCGTACCTTCCATCTGCATAACAGACTGTTTCAGAGTCCGCTATAAACAGCTGAATTATTGAATCACTCTGTGTTGGACTTTGTCAGTTTGTTTGATTATCTGGATTCCTAACTTCACCTTGTCATGATAACTCTTTGTTAGCTGCCTGTGCCGACCCATGGGCTGGTTTTACCGAATACTCTGACTTGCGAAGGTAATTAAGCTAGCCCTGTCCCTATTTACTTTAAACTCAGTTTTTATAAGTGTATACGCCAAATCATTTAAAATGTGACATTTAGAATTCTTATTAAATGGTATGCCATCATAGGGGCGGTATTCTTTCATGTTCATAGCGACATAGGCGCAGACAATAACTGAAAAGGGCATCTAATATATTTGGCCCTATGACTTACCCCCAAAATGTTTTTTAATGGTATATGGGGGTACTCGTATGTTCTATGCTAACAAAAAACAGTGTTTAAATAAAACTCTGTTTTGGGTTACACTAACCCTCACTAGCCTGGTCCCCTCCCAAAAAACTGTATGTACAAATACACACTAGTCAGCCCGGAACTCTTATTTACCTCCAGCAGTACTGGGCTTTAACGGTCTATGTTTCAAATTGAAACTCTATAATCACATCAAGGTTTTTCACTTGTTTTTTGAAACTCAGCCCATACAGACTCCATTTAGTTTTAGTTTATTGATGATGTTCAGTAAAAGGTTATTTTTAAGTTAATTCACAATTTGTAATAAAAGATTAAAGGAAGGGGCGTGTCCGACTTCCGGCGAGTACGGACGCATGGCTTGAGAGCTCCGCCGAAAATCTAGCCTGACAGCGACAACAGAAGCAAAAACTGCACATTTGCCCACCCATCCGCGCTCCTAAGGTATTACCCAACGACTATGTCACCACCCAAACAGCTGAAGATCATGGACGCGGTGAAAACCCGGAAAAAAGACCGGAGAAAAGACAAACAAGATGGCGGCGACACACCTGGCTTGTCGGACGACCAGTCAGATGCTGAATCAATCTCCTCCAAACTATCGGACTCAATGATCACAGAACGAAGTCTGCATAGAATGCTACAAGACCTCCGCTCTACCATTAGGAAGGATTTCCTACAAATTGACAGTGAACTGAGGAAGGAAATCACAACACTGGGCGAAAGAACCAGCCATCTTGAAAACAAATCCGACGAGCTGTGTGTAGCTCACAACGAAGTTGTTGATAAACTTCAGAAACTCTCAGAAGACAACAATATGCTTCAATTAAAATTAGCAGATCTAGAGGATAGATCCAGAAGGCAGAACGTAAGATTCAGGGGTATACCGGACGATATATCCCACGATGCTCTTCCTGCTTATATACTATCTATTTGTAAAATCTTAGTTCCAGACTTACCATACTCTGCATGGACTTTTGACCGCATGCACAGACTTCCACGCCCGGCACGTATGGCACAAGATGTCCCTAAAGACACTATTGTGAAGTTTCACTACTTTGCACACAAGAACACTCTGCTCAACGCAGCAAGAAAGGCAGGCACTCTACCTGACCCCTTTCGAAATATATTCTTATTTGCTGATCTATCAGCTTCCACTATGGCACGTAGAAAAGAATTTATAACTATCACCAAAACCCTACGCAATAATAATATCTCCTACAAGTGGGGTTACCCAACAAAACTCCTGGTCTGGAGACAAGGCAGAACACTGGTTATAACCGAACCAACCGAAGGCATGAAGATAATCACCTCCTGGGGGCTTTGGAATGCAACCACGACGACTTCACATGCCGCACAAGCAACAGACCTCTCCCCGAAGAAACTTCAAGCGGATTGGAATTTGACGGGATCGTCTACTACTAAACCATGAACTGCCTTTTAACTCAACATTCGCGGGAAGCGATGAGTATACCTATACTGCAATATGCTGACAAGTTCTCATGTTAAATTGTTCTCTCTTTATTCTTTACTGTGTAATATGTCATTACGTTTGCATTGAATTTCAGCATAATTGACTCTAAAACTTAGTTAAGTTATATGCCTTAACTCATTTCTTTTTTACTAGAATTGTCTGAATAATATATGCTTAAGGAGTAGATACTATGAAAATGTGGCAATGCATAATTGTACACGCCTGATATGAAGTGCATAGTGCGACATGGACCCTTTCAGTTGTGCCTATTAGCCTGGTTTTCCGTGATCGCTCACGATCACCATGTGTCACTTAGTACAGATTCTGATTTTAATTGCGGGTGAAATTCTAAACCCAGTACTCCTGTACTTGGATTGATGTCAATAAAATGGTAGATTAACATCATTACACCTAGTACATGCAGCATTATAAGTGCAATTACCGCCTATCTGACTATGAGCGATTAAACTAACTTAAAACCGCGTAACAATATACTACCAATCCCAACTTACTTATTAGAAGGCATGAGCGTACGCGCTTGTATCACCAAAAAGTTTATTAAACATAGTATTTTTCTTTAGCTTACTTTATGTTCCTTCCTTGGATAAATTCTAATCTATGACTTTAAAACGACAAAAAACGTTGCAGCTGCATGCACCATGTCGCAGGTACACGTTCCCAAATATTAGCTTTCACACGTGCATATGCTCTGACTGTATATAGTGCTGGGCGCCGTATGCAGGTTAGAATCATCAACCCTTCATCTACCAGCATACGGTGCAACCCGCCTTATTGTATTTATTCTACTTTATTTTATATTTTTTATTTATGTTGTACACTTTATATTCGCTAGTCATGTCTTATGGTTTTACAGTTAAGTGGCCGAGTTCTATATTCAATGGGAGAGGAAGGACATCATAGACGATTGAGCGTAGACGAATCACTATTCGGCAACGTCGTCCTTCCCAAACCACACCCCCCCCTCTCTAGCTTAGTATCACCACTACCCGGTTGTCATGCTGATATCACCATCCCGTGTTTCATGTCACGCTCTAATAGAATTCGGAAACCGTTCGCCTGCCGAACGCATCCTCTAGCTCTGGTGACACGTTAGCAAATATATGAATATTGCAGTTAGACATTAGCTCTACCTTCTTCACTCTTCCAGGCGTTGTAGTTTCTGCCACATTGGATCTCCTCTCTTCTAAAGATGTTTTTGTTACTTTTATGCATCCTTACAAGCAGTTACTCACTGTTACGCGATTCACATCAGGCTGGAGGAACTCTCTCTTGCCCCCCAGGTCATGGCTCGAGACACTCATAGTGGTCTCAACATGTCCACTCTACACCTTCTCTTCAAAGAAGGATCCTTTGTATATAGTTATGTATTTCTTGTTAAATCCCTCTCTCTTCCCTTCTTCTCCCTCTACTTGTTACCCTCACATCCGAACGCATCACTAAGAAGCCCATCCGTACGCCTTACTGGATGCAATGCTACACTTGATACTACTGGCTCTACTTCTGTGGAAGTGAACGTTCAACTGCCCCTCATACCATAAGGACAGGACACTTAAGCGCAGCCACGAATGCTACCCAATCAATCAATGGCTAATACAATGAAAATTTTATCTCTCAATGTCAAGGGCCTCAACAGCCCGTACAAAAGAAGACAAGCTCTAAAAGACATGCACAACTCCAATGCCGCTATAGTATGCCTTCAAGAAACTCATTTTTGTAAAAAGAACCCTCCCAATCTACGATCCTCCAAATACCCCATAGCTTATCATGCTTATGCGCCAAACAAATCAAAAGGTGTAACCATCCTACTACATGCAGACTGGGTATTCACCCCAACCAACCAACATGTTGACCCAAATGGGAGATTGCTAATTATAGTGGGAGACCTTAACGGAATCCAAGTGACGATAGCGTCCTTATACGCACCGAATGAGGCTCAATTCTCCTTTCTCAACAAAGCCATAAAGAAAATCTCCTCACTAAAACAAGGACATGTTATAATTTGCGGTGATTGCAACTGTACACTAGACCCTACATTAGATATTCAACGTGCCAACGATAAAAAACCTAACAAACTAACCATCCACAACAGCAAATCATTTTCCAATCTTATTTTCTCTCACAATCTCTATGATACGTGGAGAAACCTATTCCCAGCTGCTAAGGATTTCACTTACTTCTCCCCGGTCCACTTAACATATACCCGAATAGATATCTGCTTGATAGATAAATCCACATTACCTCATCTTTTTATCAAACGATAGGGACCAGAACATGGTCGGACCATGCCCCAATAATTATCACAATAGCAGTGCCTTACCCAACGAGAGGCCGAGGCAAATGGAGATTAAATGAGTCCATTCTTGACACACCTTCGAATTTAGAGAAGATTGCCCGCGAATTGCAAAACTATTTTGAAATCAACACTACAAATGATACATCAATAGAAACCCAATGGCTCGCTCACAAAGCGGTGATCAGAGGAGAATTTATCAAAATAGGATCAATCAACAAGAAGAAATCTCATAACCTACAACGAAAGTTGCTCCAGAAACTCATGACTTTGGAAAATGTCAACAAAATAACCCCTTCCCGCAACACGACAAAACAAATAACAGAAACGCGTGAAGAGATACTAAAAATTAAGGTCAAAGAATTCACCACGAACGCAGCTAAACTTCAACGTCACTATTATGGCATGGGCAATAAAGCCGGAAAATTGCTAGCAAACCAACTGAAATCCAAATATCTTCAAACGAAAATCCCATACATTCTCTCAAAGTCACAGATAAAAATATATAATCCTACCGACATAGTGAACGAATTAGCATCTTTCTATGAAGAACTATACAACCTAGATGCAAACGAGAATACGCACACTCCAGACAAAACAGAAATTCTAACCTATTTAGAAAAAATACAATTGCCAAAAATTTCACAACAACAAAATAACACGCTTACTGCCCCGTTCACGGAATCCGAAGTAGCTGCGGCTATCAAATCTCTCCCCAGGCATAAAGCCCCAGGCCCAGACGGTCTCCCGAATTACTATTATCTTAAATTAGAACCATACCTATCCCCGCACATAACCAAACTTTTTAATAAAATAAAAGAAACTGGCCACTTCCCTAGAACCATGTTGGAAGCATACGTCATTACCCTACCCAAGCCGAATAAACCACCCACTACCTGTGGCAATCTACGACCAATTTCGCTATTAAATGCTGATGTGAAGCTCTATGCAAAACTTGTAGCCACAAGATTGAAACCCTTGCTATCTACCTTGGTTTCGGAAGAACAAGCAGGCTTCGTGCCTGGCAAGCAGGTGGGAGACAATACCAGATTTTGCATGGACCTCATCGACTGGGCAACTCGTCAACGTGTGTCCGGGGTCTTAATGGCCTTGGACGCAGAAAAGGCTTTTGATCGCCTTAATTGGACGTACATGGAGACTGTTTTACAAGCTTATGGTTTCTCGAAAACCTTCATTACGAGCATTATGGCCCTCTATTCCGCGCCATCGGCGAAAGTACTAAACTCAGGATTCCTATCTAAAAGCTTTGATATCTCCAATGGTACGAGACAAGGGTGTCCCCTATCCCCCCTCATATTTATCTTATGCTTAGAGCCTCTCATACGAACAATCAAACAAGACCCCTTACTGCCAGGCTTTACCACACCAGCAGGGGAAAAGAAGCTGGCCTTATTTGCGGACGATGTTATTCTTTTTTTAGCAAACCCTAGAAGTGCCATTCCCCATCTCATGTATACTCTTGCCTCATATGGTAACTTGTCATTTTATAAAAACAACATCAGTAAAACACAAATACTCCCTCTGAACCTCGAACCCCAGGTCACAGCCGATTTGAAATTACAATTCCCCTTTGATTGGCGCAAGACTTCCGTTACGTATTTAGGTATCAAACTCACACTATCACACTCTCAAACTATAAAAGAAAATCATGAGGCAGTCCTACTGAAAATATCCAACCAACTGAAATCCTGGGATAATTTGAACACCTCTTGGATAGGAAGAGTGAATTCGGTTAAAATGATGGCGCTCCCTCATATTCTATATCTCTTCAGGACACTACCCATCACTCTTCCCAAATCAATTCTTATGAAATTCCAATCAACTATCAACGCGCACATCTGGAAAAGAAAACCTCCGAGAGTCGCTGCTCACTCCCTATGGAACCCCATCCATCAAGGTGGCCTGAGCGTTCCCAATATCACAAACTACTACAAAGCATCCACGCTAGCACAGAGCCTGGACATTATGTCAGGAAAAGCCAGCCCAATTTGGCTTCAACTTGAACAAGCATGTAGCCAACTCCATTCCCTATCTGACACTATGTGGGCCACGAAAAAATGCCCTACCCACCCACCATTGCCATGCACAAAATTTCTTCTGAACTCTTGGACAGCATGGAGCTCGAACCTCTGCTCCAAGCAAGAACTTCTTTACCTGGCCCCATTACGAGTCCTATCCACAATATCACCAGACTTGTCGTTAATGCACTGGCATCACCAGGGCTTAACTCATGTCTACTCCTTGTATAACTCCAAAGGCCTTCGCACCTTTCCTGACTTACAGGTCTCTCATAACCTGCCACATAGGGATATCTTCCTCTACTTGAGAGTCAAGCATATATTGCATACTGCAACTGTTAAATATCAAGACCCATCGATACTAAGCTCAATAGGCCACTCTTGCTACAATATGAGCACAACTCGCACCCCGCCGAAATTCCTCTCATTGTGTTACCTAGCCCAATTAAACATGTCCAAGGAAACCAAATTACCCTACATGCTACACTGGGAAAAAGACTTGGGTACAGGGTTCCATCTCAAGGACTGGTTATCTGCGATAACAACTACCAAAAAATCCACCAAATGTGTTAATCTATGGGAAGCATACTTCAAGGTACTAATGAGATGGTATTTAGTGCCCGATAGGTTGAGTAAAATATATCCAACGGCTGCTCCTACATGCTGGAGGTGCAATAGTGGTAGGGGCACAATATTACATATTTTCTGGGAATGCCCACACCTGGATACTTTTTGGAAATATGTGCAGAACGTCATACACACCATCTCCGGGTTACAACTCTCCCTACGTCCTGATTTCTACTTGCTCCATCTAATACCGAACGTACACCAACTACCCTCAACGGCAGCTGTAATTAATACTCTGATTGCGGCAAAATTATGTATTGCGTCTCATTGGAAGAGTGACTTTATCCCATCAGCAAAAGAACTGCTAAACAGAATAAACACCACATACTGCTATGAAAAGGAATGGGCCATAAAAGGGAACATAACCAAATTTAACAAACAATGGAAAGGTTGGGAAACCACGTACAAACACCGCATCGACTCGGGATAAATTCCGTCTCTAGAATGGAGTGAACTCTCAGACGTCATTTAAGGTCGCTCGGATGTGAGGGCCTCAGGTCTCAGGCCTCAAGTCTCTTGCCTCTTGTTTCCTATCTTCAATGACCTAACTTCTCTCTCGTTCCTCCCCTTTCTCCCCCTCTCCTTTCTCTACTCTCTCCTTGTTTCCACTGTACTTCCTCCTCGCCTCCCCCGCCCTCTTTCCTTTTGCATCTCACTCTTGTTCATTATCTCCCCTCTACCTCTTATACATCAACTCCTCAAACACTCCAAATTGACTAATCTAAAGGGCCATCGTC